TTTATCTTACTTTGAACTTTGTTGTTTTTATCACGTAACATACAATAGTTTATATATGATTCTTATTTTGGTTTATCAACCGGATGTTTCCATTTCTAAGAAAGCAGAATGCAAGAAAATGATACATTTTCTTTTTGGGACTTGACATTGCTTTTACATTTTAAACATAATTATGTTGATAATTGCGCAAAAAAGTCTTGTATTTTTTTAGTGTTAGAATACATTTAAGTGCGGTTATATATTATTATAATTATTGTTTAATATAAAACTGCTTCAATTATTGTACAATTATATTCTAGTCACAGTTTTAATTTAGCACTGCGTATAAGAGGAAAACCTGCATTTTGTGATAAAAGCATCCAATTTATATTAAACAATTTAAGGTATGGATGCATCTTTAAAAAAGTAACTTCCGTTTTTTTCCAAAATGGCCGCGATACGCCATTTCAACAATAATATGAAAACATGTATAAATGCTTCCTGCGTTTTGATCACAACTTGGTAGTAGATGTAAAATACTAAAATATTCTCTACACCTAATTCATTTTTCAAAATGGCAACCACTTCTGATAATTTTCGAAGATGGCCACCATTTCGTTGACGATTTGTTTCACAAAATGAAATCTTCTTACTCGATTAGCATTAAACACACGACACAGTGACATGTATTTCACAATGTACAAAATAACAAGAATATGCATATGTATCATTTTATCGAAGTCTGAATATTAATATGTTGTAAAAGTAAAAATAAAAATATGCTTTTCAAATGGTCAAATTGCATTCACCACATTTTTGGAAATAATGAACAGTTGTTCTGAATCGCTTGCATTTTCTGTGAACCACTTTTCAAAATGTCCTCTCTTTGAATGAAGTTAACGCAGGCTATTCCTTTTAATTGGGGAAAAACAGATGTTTATCAGTCTCTCGTATATGAAGTGTTGAAGCCGATCTTTCCCATTTTTCTACTTCCTTAGCAGTCTTCACCATGCTTGTTTGTCAATTTCCTTCGCACCCAGAACTTACAACTCCTCACTTCTGTCCAGGAACGGATTGCGGAATACTTCAAACACAGTGATTGGAGATGGTATGTCAATCAAAAACTTGGTTTGGTAGCTTAATTGTTGTTCATGATGACGGAACTCTTCTGTTGTATCTTCAGAACTGCTGATTACTGCTTCAAACTCTTTTAAGAGTCTTGTAATCTCTGGACCTGCAACCATCCATCGCCGCAATGCACCATGATTCTCTGTCAGTACTACTGCACCCTCATTAGACATCACTGTTGCATTGCTCTGCTCATGTACATGGTCGATAGCAATAGTTGAAACTTTTTATTTGTCTTTTTTACAACAAGGGACCACCTTGGAATTCTTCGGAGAGTACAGGATGCATTTTCACCAAGTGTTTTTTTTTTATATCACGTAGATGTACTGGCAACCATATTGCAAAGTTTACATCAGTACATGAAGGCAAATAATCACGGGTTTCTTCATATCGTCAACATATTCCTCTCTTTTATAGATTTGACAAAAGCAAGTGATGTGAGTTTCATATCAAGTACACTGTTCTAGTATTTAAACGGAGGTGATAACGCCGACCATTTCTCCTTTCATTCTGTGAAATCGAGAGAGGATGGTGTTCCAGAATGTTGATTTTGGAAAATACCACATTTGCTATTTTCAGGATGTGAAGGCAATATGGCTTGCTTTCAAAACGAATCGGCCATTCCAGATGTTGGTAACATTTGTCTAAATGAGTGCAGAAATCCATCTACTTCTACTTACACAGTTTCCAATATGTGTCTTAAAGTAGCCCTTCAACGTGCAACCCCGCAAACATGATAACATCATGATGCTCTCCATAGCGTTGCAGCCAATTACATTAAGTCAATTTTGCCAAAGTTTACAGAGGCTGATCAATTTCAATCACACGTGTCTGACCATGATTGTTGGTAGATTTCTGCATGATATCCATTGCATACCTAATCATTGCTGTACTCTTGGCATTTTCGTGGAACAGGAGTACCAGTGCAGATAATGCAAGATATGCTTGTACATCTTCAAATTATCAGCATAAGAGTACGACCATGCTATTTTACTCTTGTTATTGTCTTGGCTATCAAGACGGTCCAACCACATGTAATATACTAATTCCAAATGCATAGAGCATAAAGCTTGTCCCATGGAAACATGTATTTTTTTCTGCAAAGGCGAATTTGTCATGTGTGTTTGAGTGTGTTTATACATTCAAGATGACGATTGTTTGGATCAAAGTCATGGATATGACAGACTTGTCTAATACAACTGAAATGACAGCTGTGGGACAAAAACATTAATCAGGCTTAATATTGGTTTTGCTTCTATGAATACATATCTGTATTAATCAAGATGAGCAGCAGAAATAGTTAGCGCTTACTCTGTTTGCTTGTTTGGAGTTAAACGATCTCGCAACATCCAAGGTCCTATGAGGTCGGGTGCAGAGGAAGACAACGCCTGAAACAGAAATAAAATAGAAAAGAGTGAAGACAGGACAGATAAGAAACGAAAATATCCCAAGTGTTGCTATGGGTACAGCAGATCATTTTGTTTCTCTTCCATATCCCCATTCGTAGAAGACTGGACACAAAACCCCCCATTCGACAGGGGGCACATTAGACGCCTTCTACGATACAAATGCAGTGGGATACAGATGTTATATTCATGATTTCCTTAATGTCCCCTAAATAGAACACAAGGAAGAAACAACCCCCGATTTTTGCAGGGGGCAAATATTCTTGAGAGGAATGGTTAGATACATCAGGCTCTGTGGTAGGTAAAGCTGCTGGTGGAATAAAGGTGTACTCATCAGATAGTAGACTGCCTTAACTTCTTTGCCACACATGGTGTTGTTGGAACTAGTGGTTCCGATTATCAAACAAAGTCGCCACTTGATCGACTACAGAAGAAAAACGAGTCTTCGACTATGATTTCCTGGACTCGTTAATCGAAAAATGAAACCTCTAAAGATCGTAGCTTGTGGCATGAAGTGTGGAACCAGGGCCGTTTTCGTCCGGTTGGTCTGTACCAACGAACTACTCCCATTGTACTTAAGCTCTTCAACTTTTAGCAGTTGCCCGTTATAACCATGTTGATTATTCCGTGTTGACTGATTAAATAACTTTTGAACATCTTGAATTTTACCCGGGAGTAAAGATTTCATTTTCGTATGTCCCTATATCTTTAAACGACCAGAGTGTATCATGAATCATCGTTACTCAAATGGTAACACAATAATACAATTAAGTTCTTTAATTTCTGTCTAATATACACTCATATTTAGATTTTTTAAATCATGGCGGCCATCTTGATTTTTTAGTGAAGTTAACTTTGTACAATGGGAGTTCTTTTTATGATTCCATATCTTTAAATGACAAGTATAAATCAGGAACTTCATGCACCAAATGTCATGCTTTTATCACAAAGTGTAGATTACCTCTGTTTTTGGCCCTTATCCGCTGTACTAATTTCTCAATAATATGTTTTCTGTATTGATCATTATTTCATCTGCTTGTCATTAAGCTTACAGAAAATATACTATTGAAATTTGTATCTGCAAATGAAATGGTTATATTTAACTAAGACATATTTTGTAATACATAATTTATCAAAGTAACATTACGAAAATTTAATTTTATTTATTTTCCTTCATTTTTGGATAAAAGGAATCAATAATCATGGGCAGCGATTGAACATAATACTAAATATTGGCACACCGGAATATAAACATATTACAAACTTTATTTACCGATTTTTTTCAAATTCTTCTCTTCCGAATCTTTTATTTCATTACTTTGGATGATAATTCGGGATGAATCAATTGATAGTAACCCTCTGATAATGCTACATTGGTACTATATTTCTTACACTTGGAAACATTTTTAGCGTATGCCGTCCGTCCTCGGTCAACTTTTTACTTTAGAAAACATCTTCTGAATATCCAATAGCCTATGGTGATGATATTCGGCCAATAACATGTTGGGATGAAGGATTACTCGGTTTGTTCAAATGAATGACCTTCGCCCATTTTTAAGGTCACGGGTGTCAAACATTTTTTTTTTAATAATTTGTAAAATATGCTTGTAGCATGCGTGGATTAAGGGTTTCGAAGTTTGTGAAAATAAATGAATTTGACCTATATGCAAGGTCACAGGGGCCACATATGTTTTAAACCTTTAAACAACTTCTTCTGAACAGCTAGAAGTGGTGACATTTTCCGAGTAATATGCTAAGAAAAAGGGTTATCAATTTTTGTTCATTTAAATAACCTTCATCCACTTTTGAGGACACATTTGGTCAACTGTGTATAAGCCTTTAAATGACCTAATTTCATCAAAGATTGAGTTTGATAAAGTTTGTTCAACGTACTGACCTTGTTCGACTTTCAAAGTCACGGGGGTCAAATGTGTTAAAATATTCTAACAGCTTAATTTGAGTGATTTATAGTCATACATCTTATATTTTGCCTGTGTCTTAATTTTAGTCCACCTTTCAGGTTACAAGTGCGAAATTCCATTGGGCCTCTTGTTTTACATTCGTTCTCAGTCTTCTTGTTTTCAATCTGGTTGGACTAGGAGACTGTTTCGATAAAACTGTGCATTACGTTCATGCTATTTGATATGATATATTCAGTAGGGAATGATACTAAATATATAATAAAAAGAATAAGTAGGGGCTGATATCTGTCTGTAGGCTAACGACATGTGACATGATTATTTATATTTTCACTTTGACTTTAAAATGTCCTCTCTCGGAATATGTAGTCTTGACTGAAAGATAATATTGTTCGTATCGAATTCTTTACCAAATATGTCATATGTCAAATACTCAAAATCGATAAAATACTTAAATATTCTATAAATTATAAGGTTTTTTTTTTCAATTCAAAGATATAGTTAAACCAGTCGGTCTTGAAACGTTGCTACACGTTTAATACGTACATTGTTTATGTTGAAAGAAAATCTTTGATATTATAGTTAGACTTCCGTCCTGGGAAGCAGACATCAACAACCGTCCAGGTAGGTACAATTTCATTTCAATATCTCTTTGTATTTATACATAATTCATGTATATTATGGATACGTAACAAAGAGTGGAAATCTAAATTACTTTATAAATTATATATATTTCCAGGGTGAATACTGTGTACCGTGAAAGTTTCGCCGAATTAAACTTACGCCCTACACTGGTAAATCCGTATTCGCCCAGTGTTAATTTCGCATTTGATTGCTTAATTAATCATATTATTTACCTATGTTGACTGTTATGATAATTTCGCCTTCATTACCGAGGGAGATAAGCAGAGTGAAACAGCGGGGAACATTTCCCAGTATACAGTAAATCTTAAAATCGATTATAATATTTAATTTAAGGAGGTAGACATGTTTCACTCATATTAAAAACATATTACCTCTGATAAATAATTCCATCAGATAGTTTTTGTTAATTGCAGTTATATGTGAAAAGACTGTTTCAATAATATACAATGTGCTATCGGATTCGAAACTTATATACTCAGTGTACACTTATAACTGGTTCAGTCTTGTATTTCATCTGTCCTTAATTCTATCATTTTAAAAGAAATGCATCATTTATTATAATTATATTCATGCGAAGGCCATACCTATAGCAAATGTGGTTTATTCACGAGTGTGTATCTTAATAACATCTGTTCTGTTTGATATTAATCTTCCAAGGACAAAGAGTTGGATAATCACTAGTATATTTATATTTGGGCTAAGCGTCTTAATAAGAGCTAAGTTCATCACATGCGTGCCTCTATACGTGCAATCCATGTGTCTATGCCGTTGTTGGTATCGTGATGATTTTCTGTTTTTGTTTCTCCGATAATGTTGATCTGACGCCGCTCTTGTAGTACTATCTCAATAAAATACCATACAAAAAGCACCAAGCACGATACTGTAGTAGTACGAGGAATATTGAAAGAGATAATGCCGTCGCTGTGGGCTCAAACTCGCGACCCTTTCTCTATCCAGCTCGATGCTCTGCCACTGAGCTAAAGGAAATTCCCTACAGCTGACAAACCCGAAACGAAGTCGAAACCCTTTCAAAGCACCGGTTTCCGTATGCCATTATGCGAGAGTTTGGAAGACACAACATGGGTTCTGTCTCTGACCACAGTGCATATATATGTATATACACAAATGTTGTACTTCTACCTGTTTAATATTGATAACCAGTGCAAAAAAGATAACACTGATTGATGTGTTCTTTTTTCAAACCCGTAAGCGCCGCATAGGTTTGATATATAAGCATTTTGTCTACTTCTGATGCTTCCCTAAGCGTTAAAGCCTTCTGGGAAATTATGACCGCATACTTTCTACAAACATATAATAGGAAACCCTATCATCATTATGTTTTCGTTTGATAAAATATGTCATATTCACTGCGGTCAAGATATACGAATGTTATATTTTCACACATGAAGATGCCACTCTGAGTACTATTCAATCACAACGGTACATTCTTTTCACTGCAAATATGTTTTAGTTTCAAGTACAGAGGAGGTGACGGAAAAATAAGTGGCTGTTCTGTTCCACAGTTGCAACATACATTATGGTATTTTCATAAATTGTCACCTTAGGCCTTTTTGTTTGGAAATCTAAACAGATAATAGCAGCAAACGTCAAAATTGAGTTGAGATCCTCATTCAAAATGGGGCTCTGTAGTTTTCAAGCGTTACGTCATTAAAAGCTGGCGTCAAATAGCACGCTACAAATTCCAGCACTTTTCTGATGTAGCAATATTTGAGTCCATTTACTTTTTTATAACAACCAGAAAACAAGAAACATGTATTTGTTTTTTCGTTGAACACAAGATCTATTTAACCCGTTTAAAACGCATATGTTATAACAACCAGAAAACTAGCGTTATGGCGTAGAGTGTCTTCGTATCTAAAAATGCATTATCAAATGAAATATTTGTTAAAATCGCGATAGGTATAATATATATTTTATATAAAGCATGTACTGCATTCTCTCTCTCAGAATATGACGTTATTTTCAAACTGTTGTCATTTAAACATGCAGTAAAACTTTACATTTTAGGGTCTTAAGAAATATATTGAATGAAAACAGTGCAACATATGTGGATACTGTGTGTAAACAGAACATCATGAAAGATAAAAGTAATGCCATTTATATTCGAAGAAAAAATTCAGAAGTGCATATCTGCTCCAGGGTGTTGTTTTGAATCTCAATAAGTGATTTTTATCCAAATATCTGGTGTCCAGCAGCTTTGCTGCATTTGTTTGGTTTTGGTGCGGATAACAGTGTTCTTGGCCCTTTGCAGACGACTAGTTAGTTTTGTTTTTAGATATATCACAGAGCAGGGCATAACAGTCAAACTGAGAAGTAACAAGTTAATGTACCAAAGTCTCGCCGCTATGGAGGGCCATCTCAGTAGAGTACCTCGTTTGATAGGCCAGTTGCAGGTTGTCTTGATTACTTCGTATGAAGATGAACCTCTAAAAGCCTGGCCCCAATTCTACACTGGGCGGTACTTCTTAAACTCCTCTCTGTCTGTTTCAGTTTTCTTCAGCAGTTCTCTCTTGACTTTAATGTTAAACGTCCGCCCAGATGTCCCGTGCTAGAACATACCAAAGTCCTTAGATATGTTAGTTTAATTCCCTGCTTAACATTCAGCATTAAAGGTAATGACAACAACCGCTTAAAGCGTTGTTAGTATGCTTTGACCAATCGGAATGCTTTCCTTTGATGTTTTTTGCATGGTGTTTCAGAGATATAGCACTATCAAGTCGAAATCAAGGTTTTGTTTGACTTTATTTTGTTTAACTTCAAGGACGTGCCTACATGTGATGTTTATGTGTGCTGGAGGCAAGGTATTTCGGTGTAATTTCCCCCCTTTGATAGTGGCATCATGTCCGCGTTTAACTCAAGAAGGAAAATACACCACCATACCCTGTCTTCGACACTCATTCGCACATGCTCGGATACATAACACACATAAAGGTACGTCTTTAAGTGACCTAAGCTGGCAATAGACTCAAGTATTACCAATACTACTGTAACGGTTCACGTCCTTAGTCCTCCACCGTTGTGATTCCAGGTTCTAGCGTAAAGTGACGTACGTTTTATATCCTTGGAGTCTGTAGTGTGACAAAATATATACATAACACTGACGTGACCGTTTCCAACATTTATAAGCATTGGCAATATTGACAACAACGTTTAGGAATAGTGCGACCTATTATGTGAGTACCCAATAACATTCTGCGCCGGCGTTAACGTCATAATAGTGACATTCACTCGATGCCATGAGGAGGATCCAACCAGAGGCTCTGGCGTACCCAAACGCCCCTGCGGCGTACCTGGCGACAACCCGTGCCCACCCGCCGACGTAAACCCTCTGCCGTTCTGGTCCGGTGGTTTTCCTCACGTCACTGAGTGTTTAGCTCTATTGTCTCGCTCACCTGTATATAACTCGCTGGTCGCTGGTCTGCTCTCCGAGAGAGTTAGACCGACCGACGGCCAGCGGTATATATACGCATGAATGAACCCTCATAATAAGACGCAATCCTTTACACGGCACAATACAGGTAACACACATTTGGTACAAATACAGGTAAAAACTACCATACATTACACTACACTTTTTTTGATTGAAAACAATATTGATGGGAATGTGAAATCAATTGACAAATGCTAAACATTGATCATCAGTCTTGAATTAAGCTGCCTTCAGGTAGGATATTAAGCAAGAAGATTAAATCAGCATACATCTGCCCTGGGCTGCAACATACTCGAGTCAATTAAAATTGTATTGTTCCATGCAAAACGTTAAGCATCTAGAATTAGCGTTGCGGTTGATTTACTTCAACGAAGATCTGTGCTGGATTCCTTCGGCATGGTATTTCAGTGCTGTATCACTCTGAATTCGGCATTAGATATGTGCTTTCGCTAGGAGACGAATACTTCAATATACAGCCTTAACAAAACAGACACAAACATCACACACATACATGTACGTCCTTCAAATAACTTAGCTATTTATACCATACTTAACTGAATAAATATGACTTGTTATTCTGTACATTTACTGCGTTTTACTGTATGTAAAATTGAAATATGTATCTTGAATAACGACCTGATAAATGTCAATTTTATTTTTGCCTTGTCTTCAAAACTTCCTGTCTACAAAGCTATATATTTGACTGACTAAAAATAGTACATACATAATTATTTACCAAAAATTATATTATACTTTTTATCGTGAAAGATAATACTCATAAACCAGAAGTGAGTTATCAAAGTGATAAACTTAGATATTTTATAAATGATATCTTACTGAATTTTATAATTCAAATATATTAATTCATCTTATAAGGTAATCTTATATTATTTAAGTAACACATACTTAATACAAATTTAATACCATTGAGATATTTCGTTTCCTGCCTTTAGATGCAGCATCCATCACACTAGCTGGTAAGCAAATATTATATTTCAATTAACATTATCCGATACTAAAACACGCTTTTCTTAAACGCATTACTTCTGGTAAAGTAAGAGTGCTTTATACATTCTTAAAATATAATAATGTAATATATGATAGCCTTCCTAGTTAAATCAATGTTATGTCAATATTCAACGACTTCAACAAAATATAACACCAAAAAGACATCAACACAAGTGTTAGCTTTGTTATGTTTTATACATAAATAGTAGTTACATGTAAACGTTCTTATGGTTGTTGTAAATACTTACATTTATTTCATTCCATGACCTGTAATTCAGTACAGTTTCTGCGTGCCACTGTATGTAAAGTTAAAATATGTATCTTTGATAAAGACCTGATAATTATCAATTGAATATCAATCATGTCTCCACATTTTCCTGCTTAAGAAGTTATAGATTTGACTGAACAAACTTAATACATACTTCAAATTATCAACAAAATATATCATTACATTCGGATCGTGAAAGATGATACTCGTAAACAAAAACAAAGTTATCAAAGTGAAATTTTTTAATAATTAAAAACGAAATCTTGCTGAATTTAATAATTAAAATGTATAAATTCATCTGATCAGGTTATATTTTATTATATAAGTAACACATCCGTGATACAAATTTAATACCGTTGTGATGTTTCATTTTCCTGCCTTAGATGCTTCAGCACCCATCAACATACCTGGTAAGCATAAATACTATTTCAATTTTCATTATCCGATTCTTAAACACGCTTTCCTTCAACGCAATACTTCTGGTAAAATTAGAGTGGTTTATACATTCTTAAATTATAATAATGTAACATATGATATTTTTCCTAGTTAAATCAATAATATATCAAAAGGCAACGTCTTCAACAAATATAAAACCAAAAGACATTTACAAAGCAAGTGATGGTTTTGTTATGTTTCATACATAAAGAGTAGTTCCATGTATACACTATTATGGTTGTTGTAAATTGACGGCAGACTGATTTATCGGTGAAGAGTCACAAAGGCAAACAGGAAAATGCCTGGTATAAACTAGAGCATAGATTGCTTTTGCCTGGTTTCTTCCTTTGACAAATCTAAGTTGTTCGTGCTTATTGCACACAGTTCTTAGATTCATCAAAACCAGCAATCCCATCTACCACAGCCCGGTTTCAATAATTATTAAACAAAATCTTTATTATTTGTACCCCAAAATATTTGAAATCGTATAAGCTATTTTTTTGATAACCTCAAATTCTTGTCTTCTGAAATTGTTGATTTAATTGACTTGGACTAAAATTTCTTATTAATGAATTTAAAGTGTTTCTCAGGTAATAATTAAATATTATTTTATATCTTTATTACACATTTCAAAAATATTTGTTATTGAATAATCTTAAACATTCTTAATTCATCAACATCTTACTGAACAAATTTCAATTGCTTTGATTACTGAACTATGTGTTTAAGTGTAAACTTCTGCAGCAAGTTTCTTACTGTTGTTATACTAACATTTATTTCATTCCATGACCTGTAATTCAGTACATTTCCTACGTTCCACTGTATGTAAAGTTGGAATATATCTTTGATAACGACCTGATAATTATCAAATGAATTTCAACCATGTCTTCACAACTTCCTCCCTTATAAGTTATATATATGACTGACAAAAAATAATACATGCTTCAAATTATTAACCAAATATATATTTACATTCGTAATGTGAAAGATAATACTCGTAAACCAGAAGTGAGATATCAAAGTGAAAAGCTGAAATATTTTATTAATGATATCTTCTGAATTTAATCATTCAAATGTATAAATTCATCATCAATGATAATATATTACAGCTAGGTGATCCTTTATCATTTAAGTAACCCATACTTAATACACATGTAATACCATTGTGATATATCATTTTCCTGCCTTAGATGCAGCAGCAGCAATCAACGTTACATCTGGTAAGCAAATATTCTATTTCAATTTCTTTACTCAATACTAATTCTATATTCTAATATCAATTCTACTGATCAATACTTCTGGTTAATACGAGTGCCTTACACATATACAGTTCTAAATAATTTAATTCATGATAACGTTCTTAGTAAAATCAAAGGTATATCACGATTCAACGTCTTCGACAAAGTGTAACATAATTAAAAAACCTTATTTATGTTGTATATATATAGAGAAGTTTCATTAGATATGTTCTACACACAATTAAAACCTGACATATCCCTGCCTCAGAAACAGAACCCATCAGCATGACTGGTAAGTTAATAATGCATTTCAATTTCTTCACTCAAAACTAAAAAACGCCTTTATACTTATCAAAACTTCATGTAAAGTACGATTTTCTTACACATAGCAACATTATAAAGTATATGATAACTCTGTTTGTATTAATCAATATTGTATCAAGACTCAAAGTCTTCTGCATAATAAAGCACCAACAAATAAAAAAATAGTTTTATTAAATACGTTCTAGTGGTTGATGTAAATTTAATAAAATGTAGGCAGACATACTTTTCTCTCCCGTGTCACAATGAATCCTAGGAAAATGCCTGTTATAAAAATGACTATAGAATGCTTCCATTTTGTCCCATCACATGTCAGGTGTGACGTGTTTGTGTTTATCGTGCATAGCTCTTCGAATCATCAAAACATGCAATCCCATCTACCAAATCAAGGTTCCAATAAGCATTGAACATAATCCACAGTATGTGCTAATAAAATATTTGACTTATTATAAACTATCTTAATCAATCCTCAAATTCTTGTTTTCTGAAATTGTTGATTCAATGACTTGGACTGTAATTTATGACTAGTCAATTTATAGTGTTTCACTAATAGCAAAAAATAACATGTCATGTATTCTTATACTTTGATTATTTTTTCGGAATTTCATTATCAGTCTATTATCATGCTTGTTGTACTAGGAAAGGGTATTGTTGGGTCAACGTTCTGAGTTTGGGGAACTCGCCTGCAGTGATAATGAGGCGTTGATCCGTACGTTTATAATACAAAGCGTACGCTGACAAGAACATGTGTTTCCCTCCACTTTATTCACCGGAAACAACAACCTCGCAACTAATAAAATTGACAAAAGAAGCCGGTCTCCGGACAGGAGATCCGGAATTAAAAACAAAGCCGGATTCCGTACCAGTATTCCGGAATTACAGTGATAAATTAGAGCTACCTGACCAGTATACCTGTGTGTACACACACATCCCCCCTCACAAATAAAAATTTAGAGCAATGAGCAAATTTTTTGAACTGGTCAGGAAGCGCCAATTTAGTACTAATTACAAGGTAATGAAAAATATACATGTATAGTATCATAATTACATGCATTTTGAAATGACCATCTTCAGTTTGTAGTAGACTGGTAGCACAAGTGTAAGCATTATCAACTAATAAGCATGGTTTGAAAACACAGTTTGATATAGATATATGTATCTAATGTGTATCCTACAATCACATCAGAGCATAAACCAGAGTAGAACAGATATACATACAAGCCATAGAAATAGTAGAAAATCAAAAAAATTCTATATGTAACCACATACCCCTCTTATAATCACCTAAGCGCTACTAGGTACAAACACTCACATACACTGGTAACATATATGATACAGTCAACCACAATATTTCATGTTTGAATCCAAATACTCAATAGTCTGCAATCTGTCTTTGGCTATCTATTTCTCAGAACAAGTGCATCAAATATCTTTAACATGCATTATATACCAGTGATACTGTAATGGCTTGACACATTGGAAAGATGGCAATCAATACATTATGTTTCCTGCATTCAATGAAATATATTCATATGTAATACTCATTTTAAGCACATTCTTTGTGAAGGAAAAAAATAAAATAACAATAAAGCAGGTTATAACTAGGAAAGTGTATCAGTAACATGGTGCTTTACATTCATGTTGTTGTAAGATTCCCAAATATATCATTTTATTTAACCATAAAAGATAATACTCTTACACCAAAACTTAGTAATCATAAAGAAATAATTAAATATTATTTAAATGAAAGTTTGTTTAAAATTAAATCTACAAATATTACATTTTCCTTCCTGGAACACAGTTACTATTTTATTTCAATTGCTTTACCCAATACCATTTACTAATACATTTCTCTTGTAAAATATGGACACGTAACAAAGAGTGAAGTTTTAAATTACTTCAAAATGATATTTTTCTCTCTTGAATAAATCTTATATTAATATTTAATGTGTAAGACAGAACATTGTATCATCAATATACTACTTTATACCACATACTGGTAGCTTGATAAATTAATTTTCATGGAATGCCGGCATGAGAAAACTCAAGAGAAAGTTTAGAACAATTTGAGAACAACTTGAGAACTTTAGAAAGAATTTCCTCATTTCCCGGTATTTAAGAACGTATTTTTCTCAAAAAGGAACGTTTGCTCGCGCCACGTGACATCCTTAGCCGGACATAGAATCCACACAAAAAGTGATCCGCGTCAGAAAATAGTCCGTCATAAACAAATCAGTATAAAGTTACGAAATTATTGTGAACGTAATTTAATTTTAAGCGTATATATGCACATGGACAAGCCAATGAAAATATGCTTATTTAAAAAAATAATTCGTCATAGCTAAGTTCGTCGGGACATTTCACACTTCATCACTTACTCAGTCATAGCTTCACAAAGGGACCAGTCGGTCTTGACACGTTGCGACACGTTTAATGCGTATTTTTTGTGTTAAAGTAAAACGTTGATATCACATATTTCTAAACTGATGAATCTTATTGTAGAAATTCGTCATAATTTTAAGGTTCGTGATAATCCTCCGCGCAAACCTTATATTTGTTTACGTTTGTCACAGACCGAGGATTTTCGATCGATGGTCATTGAGCATAGAAGTAATTTGAAAGATATGGTGTTGAGTTGACTTATTAAAATTTATAATTTAACTCAAATCCACAAATTCATCACTTTCTCATATATATTCATCATTTTCATTATCATTGTCAGAACTCTTATCGTCAGATGACTTAATCAAAGATCGAAATTGAACGTTCATTATACAATTGATATATTCGGCTGATCGTTCAGATAGCAATATATATTTTCCTTTATCATTTTCAGTCTCAACAGAGAGGTCCGAGGTAAGAATCAAGATTTTGACTTGTGTAACTTACATGAAACACTTTGTTATTAAACGCTCAATTAAGCCTAAGATAAATCGGGGAAACAGTTTTGAGTTCAAACAGAAAACTTAGGAGGAAATTTTGAAGATCATATATTATAACTGGTTAGGCAGAATCAGTCTCTGAAGATGCTCATTGGTAATCATAAAAACTCGAAGCAATTCATTGCATATTTAGATATATTTCATTTTTGTTGCTTACAAATATGTGTTCATGTAAGGACTCGTTTTAAATTGTTGTATTTGAACTTGTACGATTTACTTTTCTTTCGTGCATAACTTATATCAATAGCCATCAGTATATCATCATTTTTGGTTTCGTCACAAACTGAACTGAACAGGTGGAAGAAAAAGGAAATAAGTGATCTGTAATTAGTGGTTTAAAAAAATAGTTTAGAAACATTTAGTGTTTTACTATTGTAAAGTTGTTCTTCACAATACTGCACGAGCTTATCCGACAAATAGTATAAAGATAGATATTAAGTTCATATCTGTTTATTCTTTAGTCATTTGGAGAAGACATGCATACACTCATGCAAAAAGTGTTATTTTTGTGTGTATAATATTATTGATGAAATCATAAATTGCACCGACATGAAAACCTTATTAGCGGACAGGCCTTCACAAACACGCACGTTTACACAGTGGTTAAATGGGCGCATTGTCATCATAATACATAATGATATACTTTGAATTCTCTTGATGTTTATTTGTAACAGGAGCGAGGCACGGGAGGTCTAGATCCCTATGCACCTAACCATAGCTTGTCAGATGTAAAGTCCCTCTATGACGCATGTAAATCTGGAGACAAAGAGAAAATTTTCAAACTTCATGCAAATTGTCCAGAGTTATTATCACAGAACAGTAACCAGTGCCTTCTTCGCATTGTTGAATCTGGAAACATAGACTGCTATATCGCTATAGAATCTTTGTTGCTTAAAGGAAAAGGAAAAGAGGAGCGTCAACAATACATTGGAAACATTAGAGATACGGATAACGAATCCGTGCTCCACAAAGCCTGTCGTTCTGGAAGTAAAGATATGTATTTATACCTCTCTACAACATATTCATATCTTGTTGCTTCAACAGACAAGAACTCTCTCCTGGAAATAACTAGTAAACTAAACAAGTCTGACCTTTATGATATAATTGAGAAGGAGTTTGAGATTAAGAAAAAATAACCGTTGAATGGCCGATGAAAAAACCCATTTCAACATCAGAATATATACCCGGGGATCTTTTTTAACATTTTATGACGTTAAAGTAATGTTACACTTGATGTTTTGATAACCTGTTTTCATTTTTGTATTTTGTAATGTTTAATTCGTGTTTTAAATAGACGTTATTAAGTAGAGTGTGCATCGATTTGAGTGTCCATATTAACGTTTTTCAACATTACATTTGGTTTTAACTCTATTTGGTGTTTTATCATAGATATTGGGATAAATAAAAATAGATAAGATGTACCTCCATAACGTTTTCCAGATTTTAGTCATTTTAAGGGAAACGTTTGAAGAGTTATGGCGTCCATGGCATAATTTCTCAAATAAAGCTAGCTGTTTAGTCTCTTTGATCAAGCCCATAATTTGGTACTCTCCAGAAAATTACAGTCAAACAAAGCCTCTTGTTATGATAAAAACTTCATCTAAAGGCTATCAAAGGATTCTTTCTATAATGTATCCTTCTTGATTCCAAAGCTGTTGTTTACAATGACAAAAAAGCATGTAGAAAGGAAATTTCTCCCGCGTGTTTCGCGCACAGTCAGAACACAACCTGCTCTGCAAATTAAATTCATTAATATTCTAATATAACTCCGTGATGCAATTAACAGAGGACAATCTCCATTGTTGTTGCATTATATAAATGTGATACCTTACATATTCAACATACTAGTGTTCTAACTGATAACTTTAGAACTTATAAGAGTTCCCAGACAACACTAATACACAGTATCATCATTTAACTCAATCAGAATAAACTGTAATTAAATAGCCGGTGTCCGTGAATTCTGTTCAATCCACATAAGCAGGCTTTCTGTTCAGTTAATTTACAAATGCATCTGGAATTAAAACAAGATTTCAACCGGAGTCATCCCGGAGGACCATGTGTTGTCTGATAGTTTTTCTTTACCTTTGACTTGGGTCATTCATATTTCTTTGGTCATGTACCATGTATGGTAAAAATCCAGAGAACATACGTTTGAGCTAGCACTATAAACAAAACAAAAGCTTTAAAGTCATTTTCAACTTGACGTCAGAAAAGCTGACCCCAGTGAGATCGGTTTCATTCGGAAAATGTGACTGTCAAATGAATTTATACAGAAAAAGGATCAGTTAAGTTATTTTTCCTAATTTTTTTACATCAATTTTGTGACCAGAGGCCCTCTAACTTATACCTTACATTTGTAATAATAACTTATAATAACAAAAAAGATATTGTTGAGACGGGAAGTTGAAATAAAAAGGTACAAGTGCTAAAATTAATGATTTGTTGTTTTTAAATCAGAAATAAAATATTTTGCCAGTCAGCCAACCACCCAACCCCCACTTACACAAACACAAGGAGCTGGTCAGCTTCATATTTTGTGATACCATGCAATTTTAATCCTCAAATCTTAATTAAATCCTCAAATCATGGTTATTTCAACTAAATCAAAACGATCCCCTTCTGAAATGAAAAAAATGTACCGAAGAGTGTCATTTTCATATGTAAACAATAGTAAGGTGTATCATCACCAAATGGGAGAATTGATTATTCAGTGGTATTATTATTTACAATTTAGAAAACTACCGAAGAACCTCTCTATTCATTAAAATAATTATTTGTTTATGTACATCTGAGTCTGAAGAAGAAGTTTCTTTAACATTTAAGCCATTTGTTTCTTTGGAGCCCCTCCCTGGACACTGGGGTTATAGAAAAAGCAAAACCTTTATATTCTGTTACATGTACGCTGGTCCGCAGAAGTATAAATACATGTCACGGACGACGCACGACGACGGGGGTTAGCTTAGGTGCCCTTTTACAGTCAAATGCTTACAATATCAATAATAATATATACTAAAGGTCAACAACGGTCTGTTATTTTTTGGGATGTCGCCATTATAATGTTTCCGAAAATATAGAACAAATCGAGGTAATGAAGCAAGAACAACATCAGAAATTAATAACAGTTTCAATACCAAAGTGTATACTGAACTACTCTAAAGTCACCTATGGTGTGATATGTGTAACATAACAGCGAAATTACATTGGTCTGGACCAGAAGGAACCTCAACATAAGAATGTCTTCCGATGTTTTACATCACTTACAACTGTTGTGGACTCGTTGTGATAATGAATAAAAATGGCGGAAATCATTTCATGAAAGTATACAATGTAGAATGCCTTTCAATAAAAACGAAAATTTTTGTTTGGGGGGGGGGGGGTACTTAAAGGGGAAGGGGAAATTACAAATATATTTTGATGTTTTCAAATAAGGTAAAACAACAACAAAATTACCTTTTCTGTTTTTGGAAACATGAGTAAATTGAACAGGCATTGATAAAAAAATGAAAAATGACAGAAATCAATCGACGCTGAAAGATTGTTTACATAAAACGGAGTATTAAGCCAGGGGGTTGTTTTAAGTAAATTTCAAAGAAAAGGTGTTTTGTTTTCTTAATTGTTTCCTTTCGAACCTATATTTTGAGTTGAAATTTACAACTTTACTCATTTGAGTACCCATACATAAAATGCGTATTCACTACACACTTTCCTTTTGTTTTACATTGAGTTATTGCTTCTGGACACATCTCAAACTTTGCAATTTTAAATATCTCTCAATTGTAAGTGAATTAAAAGATCCAGGACACCCTTTATATGATATAAGTATCAGATATCAATAGTTGATATTGTATATTATATATATATCATATAATGTTTGCTTTAAAACCTGGGACTGAAGTGAGTTCCAGGTCCTTATTTGTTTTCTGACTTATCAAAGTTAACTTACAAATAAAAAATGGCATTTGCCATCACAACTACTGTAAAATGTTTAATTAAATATATGAAGTTTTATTTCCTGGTAATTTTAAGTCTATAAGCCTCAAGAAAAGTATCTATTTGAACAATTGAAACTTATACCAAATATGCATTTGAAATATGTAGTGTTAGGCAAGGAGATGCACTTTAGTCCTTGTATTCCAAAACACAAGAAAATGTAAGCTTACGTAGACAGAATGTAATTAAAGAAGACGTCACCTTTGAAATGATGATCATTAAAATGACGTAACCTGTGTAATGATGAAGTCATGATATTGTCAGCACACCGGGATTTATAGGAAATTTGGAGACCTATCACCCTACTAAATGTTTAATACGAAAAGGCAGCACATCAATTAGCTTAACGTCTACATAAAGTACTACCTTCTATGATTAGTATGGATTAACAAGGCTTTTTAAAAATCAGATACACAAACCAATTAAATATGACCCCAAATTATCTACATGAAATTATTCAACCATATATATTAAACCCAGAAGAAAATACATACAATCTTAGGCACTCAAGAGTTTTCAATGAGCCCCTTCCTAGAACCACACTATATGCTAATAGGTTTTTTCCCAGTATGATGAACATATGGAACAGTGCCAATAATAACCTTACTAATATTACAAATATTATTACTTTTAAAAGGAAAATACAAAAGTTAATTGTAGGGTACACAAAACAAAATGTATCTACACCTGTATTTAAATACTCTGGTTCACGAAAAAGTAATATATTAATGTGTCAATTAAGAAATGGTGCTAGTCAACTAAAATATGATCTGTTTAAAGATCACTTGAAAAATAGTCCAAACTGTCCTTGTAGTCATGCAATTGAAAACTCTGATCATTTCTTTTTTGAATGTCCTCTCTATACAGAAGAACGACAAACTTTTATGCAGGATCTTATATTTAATGATGAAGATTTCCATAATACAATACCTTTAAGTACTATTATAAATGGAAACACTAGTAAAAGTGACTTACAGAACAATCAATTGATGGAGTGTGTGCATAAATACAATAATGCTACAGGACCTAGCAATAAATGTATCCATGTGTCATGAGATGAGTTGAAATAAAATGTATGTATGTAAATATTGTATTCAATGTCTTCAAATATCAAAAGTATGCTGGAAGCCATGGAGAGAGCTTATATAGGCAAAGCCTGTTGCTCAATCCTTTTGTTTAATCAATAAAATATATTTGAAATGAAACCAATTAAATATAGAGGGATCAAAGCCTTTGACACCTGTGAATGGGAGTTTATGTTCAACACGTTACAAAATCTGATAACATGTGAAAGAAACAAGGCTGACATTATGAGTTGACCGCCACATTCCATCAATGACATTAATAAGTACCTCACACAGTATGTTGGATACCACAAAATAGGTCTACAAAGACGTAGATACAAGGTATAGCTGTCGATGATGATAGCTACGTACAAGAATTTAGTACAACATTTAAGAATCATATTGTTACCGGAATTAGTTTGACAAATTTACATTTAGAAGATGAAATAATCAAGTCTCTATTGACGTGTTGACGATATCCTTGTTTACATTTTATGAACATACATTGACTAACTATGTTCTTTGATTTCATATTTTATATGAATAATTAGAATAATATTACCGAACTTGTAAGTCACTCTTTTCCAAGCTTTCGGGCTTAGCCCTTCGTCAGGGATTACCTATCACTGGACCTCTGTGTCACATCTATCTTAACAAACATGTTGAGTAACTATCCAAATTAGATGATCTGACCACGCGGGCTTTTGAACTTGCCGAAATACAATCACTTGAAGTTCCAATCTAATCCACCTTGCTACTTCCTATCGCCATTTTGTAAACAGGACCTAATCTCGATGCGCGTTTGAAAGAGTTTGAAGTATTACAAAGCTTCTAAACGATCATGCCTAGAACATACTCTCTAAGGAGGATGTTTTTGATAAATTTACCATCAATTGTTTACTACATTTCTTTTCTGTATCACTTTGCATTAATTCATAATAAAACAAATTGATTTCCTCACATTCCTTTCTGTTATATATCGGATATAGTTTGTTACTTCTATAAGTTGCCAGTTTCCTTTTAGATGAAATATGTCTTGTTTAGGTGATTTTTGAGAATTGGTGGTTCTGCGAAATTTGCTTATTGTTTTTCAAAGTATCAATATTTTTTTGTTCATAACATATATAGTTTGCTCACCTAGTTACCACTTTCTTTAAAATGTAGATATTTTATATTTGTTTTTGGAAAAAATATCCAGAAATATTATTTAGTTTTGAAGTTTTACTTAAAACTTACCATACTGACAATGTCAGACAATTTCAGACATGCGAAACATATAATAATTTGTAATTCTTCTTGAATTTGGTGTGCAGATAAATCCTGAATGAACAGATCTGTCAGATCAGCGCAAATTATTTAAATTGGAGTCTACATGAAGAGTTATGTTCCTTCACTTTCTTTTTCAAGATATTATGATTCAAAGAATTTTCTACTTGAGTCATCCAATCCGTCAAAATCTGTCAAACCATAATTTACATACAATTTACATAGGATGAGAGGGAGGGGGGGGGGGGGGGGGGGGGGGGGGGGGGCTAAAAGTTGGCCCCCTGAAGAATCGAGGATTTTCTTTCATGTCTACTACTTGGGGGACATTTAACAACACACTTGGATCTTAAATCTTTCCTTTCTTTCTTCACTGTTCTCCCTTTCTGTGCTTTGTCGTGAAGCCTGTGAAGCATGGCGAACACTTAAGGATCACTCTCCGTCATCACACGTTGTCGTTGGCGGCGGCACACATTTAAGTTTTCCATACTTTTTTTCGCCACTATTTACCATATCAATTTGTTACTTTGTGTGTGGCTTAATCATAATAGATTACAGATCAAGTTCGAACCACTTGCCAATTTATTTATTTTTTTGATGGAGTTACATGTATGGCCATTTGCACATTGGAATTTCTTATAATTAACTGTTTGCCATACTTTGTTCGTTACCACCTGCCACTAAGTATGTGGTTTTATCATAATGAGTTACAGTTAGTCCAAACCCTGTGTCAATATTTCATTTGTTGCTGGAGTAATGACCCTTTGCACATACGAAATCTCATAATTGATTGTTTTCCCGAACTTTTTTTTCGCTACATTTGAATAACGCTTAGCATCCAAATAAATGACCTAGATCAATTTCAAAGTTGCATTAGAAGCAAGTAAGCGATAAGGCCCATCGGGCTTCTTGTTTAATTTCTGCACAATATCTTCAGTGCTGTTGGTAGAATTGCTTTCAGACTTTATCCGGTGCTTTTTTGAAGAAAGTGCTTGCTTTGAATAGCTTTTCAGGGCCGACGGTCAAAGGTCAAGGTCACTGTTACCATGAATAGAACATTAGTTTAGGTACAATATT